AACCTAATTTCTTTAATTAATTTATATTGATTTACATTTGGAAATTTAGACTTTTAAGCTGAAAAATATATTAGTAAAATTGGCAGCGCCAAATTTTTTTAATTAAATTTTTTTTTTACTTTTTTGTTTTATATTAATTTTCAGTTTTCAATTTTTAAATAAATTTTTAATTTTTTAATATTATTATTTTTGAAAATTAAAACAACTATTTTGTATAACAATGTTTTCAATTAGAATGTTTCTATTTAACTTGTACAAGTTTTCTTCCTTGTACTTCTATTTATCTTGTACAAATTTTTATTCTTAGTTGGCGCAATTTTTTTATATCACTACTTTTGTAGACAATTAGTTTGACATCACATCAATTTTATATTTAACAACATATAACTTGAAACTTGCCGTTTCATCAAGAAGTAATAAAAGAAATAAATAAATAAATGTACAAATAAATAAATCAAGTAGAAATAAATAAATAAATAAATAAATTAGATAGTAAAGCTTTACTGAAAAAATGTCTGATGCAACTTCTATTAGTGCTAAACGCGAAAAAGATCCGAAAACGAAAAGAGATTCCAAAACAGACAGCACTATTCGTTTTGATAATCGAAATCTCACCATAAAATTTGTGTCATCTAAACTATGGAAATGATCTTTTCTGTTTCGTATTCATTTTAGTCGACGAACAACAAATTCATTCTCATCATCACTATCTTCAAAAGCTGGCACATATCATTTTTACATTTTTATTTCCTGTATTCAGCTTAAAATATAATGTCACTGGAAGCTTCCGCATATTGGAATTGCTTATAGTCATAATCGTGGTTTAATTTCGTTAACCGATTAGAATCGACTAGTTAGTATTTAAACAGCGATTATTTCTAAACACAATTAGTTGCTCTTGATGAAATCTGATATCGAGAGTAAAAAGTAATCGAAGTTTAATTTCAATTAATAATCGAAGTTTAATTTCAATTAATCGCGTTTTACGGTGAATGCGTTGCTGGTGAAATTGGCCCTTTTTATTTCCAGATTCACGCACATACACATACAAAACAAGTTTTTTTCCCTTAAAACAAGCACATTTACAATACTCAGACGATTATTCATTTAAGTACTAGTACTCGAATATGTCTTGAGAGATAAAATTATATTTTGTATATATGTATACGTGCATATGTATAAGATAAAAAAGTATCGCGATCATAGGAAAAATAATTATCAACGTCTGGATAGGTAAAATAGGTATTTTAGTGAATTTTAATTATAAATTCAATTTTCCTCTTTAATTTTAAATTTTCAAAAACTAACTCTTGAAGTAAAATCTAATATTTCGAAAATAGTGCGCCATAAAAATAAAACGAGATCTATGTCTTTAGATAAGGCTCCTAAAAAAAGTAACTTAATGTAGAAATTTATAGCAAATATTTTCAAAAACTATTTATTGAAGATGAAACCTAATATATTTGAATCAAAATACAACAATATAGGACTTGTGCTGTTAAGACTTCTAGAAAGATTTATTTTTTACAAAAATTTAAATTTAATTTTTTAAATATAAATATTAAGAAAATCTCTTTAAATATTATATAGAGGGTGTCTCATTTTAATTTCCCAAGGCAAATATTTCGGAAAATAATGAAAAATCGAAAAAATGTTTCAGACAAAAGTTGTATGGTTTCTAGGGGGCCATAAGATGGTACCATTGATTTGACCTTGAAGAGTTATTTGAAGGTCACATGAAGGTCACTTTAATTTTTTTAAATGGAACACCCTATATATTTTTGCATATTCTTGTAGCTCATCTCGAGTTTTATTAATTCTCAATTTCATAATACTTCTTTAATATGGGATAACTTTAGGGGTGGTTTTCGAAGTTTAAAAGTGGTGCAAAAAAATAGGGAATGAAGCAACTAATTAGCAACAAATTAGAACTAAAGAAATATATCGTTTTTTTTTGTTTTAAAAAATTTTTTTTGTGGGTTTGCTAACTTTAATCTATAGTTAGCACAGCCACTATTTTTTTCGAATCGGCTGAAGCAACAAAATCGGGAATAGAGCAACAAATTAGCAAGAAAAGAGCACTAAATTTATGTATAAGTTCTATTCGATTGTGCTAAAGTTGCTGTGCCAGCTTAATTACTTTATCGCATATTTTAGATCATTTACAAAGAGATTTAAGATATATGGTATGATAGGAATTATTTTGTTAAATAGTTTAATAATTGTTGAGATATTTACAATTTTTATTTCATTTATGAAATACATGTCAATAACCGTAAAATCTTTTTTTTATTATTTATTTATTTATTTATTTATACATATTGATTGTTTATACATAATCACTTATAAAATTAAATTGTAAAATTTTTAACGAAAGTTTTCAAGAAAATATACTAGCATTAAAGACCTTTTTACTGCATTGATATTAAATTGATATTAGAAACATGAAATTATATACATTTTTTCTTGAAAAATATTATGAACTAAATTGATTTTTTTCTATTTTTCCAACAGAATATGTTTTATGATATAAATTGATAAAATTTACTAAAATTTGAACTTTTTGATTCATGGATTAATAAAAAAACTATAAATTTTTATCATGAAATGCAGATGCACAAATATATGAATATAGATTATGCTAAACCTAGTTCAAATCAAGCAAATACACAATAATGAACAAATATCAATAAATAAGAAAATGCGTTAATTTTTATTTATTTTTGTAATCTTTTATAAAATTTTGTATAAAATATTTTTATAAAATTATTAATTAAATATTACTGTTATGAATTAAATAATACTACTCTATTAACACATGACGTTTGTAATTGTTCATATTCATTCTAATTTTATACGGGCATCACTATAGAATAATAAAAATGAAAATATATATTCCACTAAACTCAAATATGTGTAATTGAATAATAACAAATATGTAGCTTGTTGCAAATTCATATTTTTTCTCAAAACCAATTACATGTTTTTTTTTACCAATTAATTTCTCTCATTATTCTGTGTATAAGAGCATTAAGGCAAAATAATACAAAAAAGAATATTTTAAATATTTTAGTGTTTATGGAAAATTATTTATGTGTTTATGTAAAATTAACTTGAAAGTATAAAATATCTTGTAAACTATTCAGTTTTTGGCTATTCTATCCTTATAATATTTTACATACAATATTGAGGAATGATTTATATCGATAAATTAGAGTAGTCCCACTTAAAAAAAATTAGATTGACCTTTACATGGCTTTAGCATCTATACTGAAGTCAAATTAATCTTTTTATCCTTTTTCCCCCTTAAAACCCTACAATTTTTATTTGAATAATTCTTTACCAAAACACGTTTTCGAGTTATTATGATATGAATGTTAAAATAGAACACCATGTATGTGTATATTTATCATAAAAAATAATATATAACTTTTTTTTCATTTCCTAAGATATAGCAAGATAGACCAATAATATTATCTAAACAGCGTGATAAGATTAACTTAATACTTGCATGAAAATTATTTTGCAAATTTTGATACCTATAAGAAATATTTTTCTACTAAAAATAAAATATTTTCTTTATAAAACTTTTTCAAAATATTCTACAAGTGATAATATTTGTTAATGGCAAATGTTGTTTAAAACAATTTTTTTTAATTACGAGTATAAATATGGATCAATATTTCGTCATTATGAAGAATTTATCTTTATTGCCCGTGATACTTCAAGTATAACTTGATATCTCACATATGATTTTTCCACTTGCACGCATGATTATGGAAAATCAATTACTTCTACATGAAAAATCTCCTGTGTACTTTTTTCTCAACTCTAAAAAAATAGTAAAAAAAAGCTTTATAATTTATAATTTATAAAAGTTTTATAAGTTTTAAATGTTTTGAAATGGATTAATATCAGACACATAAAATAAAAAAAAATAAGAAATAAAATTGCAACTGTCAATTATATTATTACAATTATATAGATATTATAAAATATACAGATATTATAAAATCAAAATATATAATTACAAAGAATATATAATTACAAAGAATTAGAAATAAATTCTGCTATGCATTTTATAACATAAAATTGTATCATGAAAATTTGTTTTCTACAGACTAAAACTGCTTTCTTCAGAGAAAAAAAATTAAATCAACAAATCATAAAACTAGAATGTGTATTAACTTGGTGTACAAACAAAGATTTCAGGAACTAAATTTTCAAGTCATTAAAACCAATTAATAAACAAAGCTCAATGTAAACTTTACATGTATCAAAATATAAACATTTTATAACTATTAAATTGTGTTGGATTTTCAAATGTTTATTCCATAAAAAGATGTTCTCATTTATTATAGAACAATTATAAATAATAGTTTATATAATAGTTTATATATTAAATATATATTGTTATCAATATGTTACAAAAATTTGTAGATTCTTAGTGATCTTAAGTGATCTAATTTTTCCAAGAGTTTTGTAAGTGTTAGGATTGTAAGAAGAAATAATAAAAATGTTTATTATTTAACGTCTTTATCTTCATTTTTGTAAAAGTGTGTGCACCCACTAGATAAATAATTATATTATTTATTTGTATATTTTTGTTCCAAAGTTAATACATGAAATAAGAGATTTCTTTAATCTTAACTCCTATATTTGTTAACTGTACAAAGATCTCATTGTACAAAGATCTGAAAAGGTGCTCTTTTTGTGAAAGTAGGAACACATCTTATCTCTCCACTCTTATAGATAAAATAAAAAATATGGAATTTTGAAAAAAATAATATCTTTGGCTTTATACGATAATACGGAAATCTCGATTATCGTATGAATTTTTTTCGCGTGTTTCGTGTATCTAAAAAACAAATGAAGAATCTATTGCAGTACACACATATACAATTGCACTCCTCCATGACCAACGTCACGTAACCCAAAAATTACGGGGCGCGTCGCTGCAATGGAGTGTTATATCGCCTAATATTATCTCGGACACTCACCATATTCAGGTTCAAAGATCGTAATCCGAGAATACGCACACCCACACAGGCATATTTAAATGAACACAAAAAAGAAGAGGTAAAAAAATACAAATTAGCGCAAAAAACACTGACCCACTTTCCATATGCAAATGCGGAAGAAAGATATATCATCAATCGGATATGTTCACTTAAGTGGAATAGAATAAAACAAGTAATGGGGCAACTACCGAACAGTAACCCCCGAGTAATTTTTAAGACGAACCAATATGGTACTGACGCACCACAATTCACAACCCGGTTAACAACCCGAGGAACAATTCGCGCAAACGGAAAGAACTACCAATAGCTTGTTGATTTGCCACATGCCGGCAGCACCGATCACTTATTTCCACCATAGACTTAGGGCGCATTCACATCTTGGCGGAAAAGCAGAAAGCCAATCAAAACTTACGCTAGTAATAAGCAGTGTGTAAGTAGTACATTAGAACAGCAAAAAGTAAAGAAATAGACCAAGCATTCTCAGGCCGGTATTCATAGTCCGATCTTATATTTAAGATCGTCTTAAGTCTGCTTGGAGGTTGACTTAAAATCTCATTCAACCAATCAAATAGCTGCGTAGCATTTCAAGCTCGAACTTAAGATGATCTCAAATATAAGATCGGACTATGAATACCGGCCTCAGAGGAGGTGAAGCCGAAAATTGGCAGTTTGAAGGTGGAAGCACATAAAATTGCAGGAGCACATAATCATAAGTATAAGAAAATTGATTGGTTCATTTTCTTATGCATATATTTGTGGACCAATCAATTTCCTTATGCTTATGGTTAGGATCTACAATAGGTAATTTAAGCCTTAAGCTTTAAGAGATTGACCAATCACTGTCAAGTATGAAAAGAATATTCAGCTGTGATCGGTCAATTTCTTAAGGCTTAGAGCTTAAATTATCTATTGTAGATCGGGATTTATGCGCCTATGCTTTTATGTTCTTTCATCTTGGCTGCATTCGTTTTTGACGGTTTTAGCGCTGAAAGTTATCTTCGTTTGATATTCGATGTGCAATAAAGACAGAATGATGCTCACAGCGCATATAAGAGTATAAAGCGAACGCAGCCCTTATGAGTGAGAACATTGAACGGCATCTATAGTTTCCTTTTTTATCTTACAAAAAGCAAATGGCCGTCCTAAAACTGTCGAGAGCTATATATAAAGTGATACATATATAAAAGTGGAATCAAATAAATTTCAATTTGTCTTAATCCGTAATTAATTTTAATATTATTTTATTTGCAGTATACGCATGATTACAGTACAAATATCATTATATTTATTTTGTTTAATATTTTATATAAATGGTATATCGTATCATATATATTTTGCTGATTAATACTATGACATTTCATATATAGTACTTTCTTAAATTTGCTTACTAAAAAACTTCTTTTTTAGTCATTTTTTCTTTTTTCACTGTGGTCTTTACAATATTTTTCTCCCTTTATATATATATATATATATATTTTTTTTTAACGGATTCCCGTGTTCGCGTCATAGGCCGGTATTCATAGTCCGATCTTATATTTGAGGTTGTCTTAAGTTCGAGCTTGAAATGCTACGCAGCTGTTTGATTGGTTGAATGAGGTCTTAAGTCAACCTCGGACCAGACTTAAGACAATCTTAAATATAAGATCGGACTATGAATACCGGCCATAGACATAGACTCATATAATAGACCAACTCCTACCGTAAAAGGGAGGGTTGAAAGATCTAAAGGACAGAGAGATGATTCCGGGTATCTCTGTCTTTCTCTTTTGTCTTGTGGTGGGGACACCGATGGGATGAGTGAAAACGAAGTGAGCATATAAGTCTATAGTCATAGATATAGAAAAGTAGAGATGGAGCGTATCATTGCGGGGTGAGCTCCACAGAAGCAGGGGGATGAGATAAATCCGCCATGCTTTTGTTGCCTAAAAAGCGGTAATATATTGTTTAATTTGGTCATACACTGGATGAAAATGGGTGTGTGTGCTGTATCTACGTGCCGTATCTACTATAATAATTGAACAGATAGAAGAAAATCAAAAGCTAAAATTACATTTCACGGGTAGATGACAATTTTATTTAAATCATGTATAGATTAAGTTTATTATTAAAATAGATTAGATTTATTTTTTTTAGATTAGATTTTTTATTTTTAATGTTATAAAGACAATGGCTTTTTTTTAAAATTTCCAATATTCTATACATTATATCGCTTTGCAACAAATAAATAAATCTAAAAGTAAACGTCATTTCTTCAATAAATTACCCTGTTTAAAGGACAATAGAATAGATATAGATATATTTAGATGTTTAATATGTATATATATATATATATATATGTATATGTTTAAATATATAAATAAATGACAATATTAGTATAAAAGTGACAATATTATTGTAATTAAAATTACTATATTATAACAATAAATGTGTTTGTAAAAATTTATTATTGTTATATATGTATTGTATGTTTTATACGTATGTAATTATGTTCTGGAATTTCATATTACCTGCCCGATAGGCAATAACAATATGGTGGATTTACCTCGTCACTTCTCCTTCTGTGGAGCCACTCTCCCCCATCGTAATAAGTACTTTACGCTCCATCTCTATTTTCCTATATCTATGGTCGCGCCATATTACGTCATATTGCTTTTGGCTAAAGGCAGAGAACCAGACGTGAGCGCTTACGTCTGTCGTAGTCGTGGACGTAAAGAAAGGCCGCAGCACACTTTTGCATAAGCGCATAACCATAAGCATAAGGAAATTGATTGGTCCCCAAGTATATGCATAAGAAAATGAACCAATCAATTTTCTTATGCTTATGATTATGCGCTTATGCGAAAGTGTGTGCTGCGGCCTTAGGGCCTATCCAGACAAACTTGCATAGGTGCATATGCATAACATAAGACCATATGGACCAATGAGCATCGAGTATTAAATCGCTATATTGACTTACATAACATACTACTCGATGCTCATTGGTCCATATGGTCTTATGTAATGCATATGCACCTATGCAAGTTTGTCTGGATAGGCCCTTAAGCCTATCGCACACAAAATTGCATAGCTTGCATGTGCATAGCATAAGACGATATGGACCAATGAGCATCGAGTATTATGTTATGTAAGTCAATATGGCGACTTAATACTCGATGCTCATTGATCCATATGGTCTTATGCTATGCACATGCAACTATGCAATTTCGTGTGCGATAGCCCTTAAGGCAGAGAAAAACGTATATCGTAAAGGCCATTGTCACAATGGCCTTGTACGACATACGTTTTTCTCTGCCTAAAGGTGCCTTTACATAGGAGCGTCTGAGCATCGAGCGTTAAAGCGTCAAAAAGTGTGACAAGCGCAGTGTGCCTATGCCAATGTTTCATGCATTCGTGATTAAAAATATTGTTTTTATTGATTTTCAACGTGCACACGTTATATCTTATACAAAGAATACATTGTAATAAATAATATTCATGTTGTAATAATATATGTTTAGAAGACATATATTTATGCCAATTATTTGGTTATGTTGTACTACGTTGCTAATCGCGCAATTCTATAATATATATTGTATAATAATATCTATTATATAATATCTATTATATTATAATATCTATTATAATAGTTATATCTATTATAATAATATCTATTATATTATATATATTAATACATTTTCTATGAAGTATATACAATCTACTTATCTCTACGGTATCTATTAAATTTTTATTACTAAACATTGTATTAGCGTCAAGATGCTGGAATCTGCCTGTTTAGAATTATGCGCAAGAGTGCTGCGCACGTGTTTTTGACGCTCAACGCTTGACGCTAAACGCTTCCATCTAAAGACGCCTTTAAGGTGGAATTTCATTGACGCTACTTTTTAGCGTCAATGAAATTGCATCTTTAAGATAACATTTTATGAGCAGTAAAAGCAGCAGCATTTTAGAAAGTAACTAGAATTGGTGACGTACTTCCGGTGCAAGTTTTTGCTGTTTGAAGTTCATTCTGTTGAATAGCAAAGCAGAAATTTCATGGGCAGCAATTCTGTAAAATCATCAAACAATGCTAGTTAGTTACTAAACTGCTGCTGCTTTTTACTGCTCATGAATAGTGCGTTCGAAAATATGTTTGGTTGGTGTTGGGAAAAAAGATAAAGTTGGCAGTATTGAAAACTCCCAGTGCTGCGTTTCGTTTCTCCCACTGGGATTATTAGGATTGTATTGTACCGTATGTATGTACACTCCGCGACAACGATTCGTTCCGTGGTCTCTCTCGCGGGGCAAGGGGAGCGTAGCCTCTAACCAATCAGCCATTGCCACGCTGCCAGCTGATTGGTCACTTCTACGCTCCCCTTGCACCGCGAGAGAGGGGCCACGGAACGAATTGTTGTCGCGCAGTGTACAATATATGAAAGTGTTGCAATTACACTAATTATTATGAAACAATATATTTTACTCGAAAACATCATTTTTTAATCTTCGAGTAGTTCTTTTTCAGATAGTGATGATAATAATAAAGAATTACAAAATATTTTATTCGAAAATAGAGGTAATAACAATAGAGGTGAAAGGAAAATAGTACCAAAAATAATTATTATTGATTATTTGGAAAATGTTGTTACCAGATATACAAATATTGAATTTAAATCACATTTTAGGTAAATTATGTCACTTTATTATAATTATATCATTATTAATATAAAACGTTCGTATTAATAATAATATATGTGATGTTATTATACATATTATTATAAAATATATTTAACTACTTATTTACCTCTTTTAATATCTCAAGTAGCAAATTTTTTTAATTCTAGTGATCCCAGTGGGAGAAACGAAACGCAGCACTGGGAGTTTTCAATACTGCCAACTTTATCTTTTTCCCAACACTAACCAAACATATTTTTGAACGCACTAAAAATGTTACCTTAAGGCTGATAGCAGAGAACGATCGTAGTCGTGGACGTAAAGTAAGACAGAGAAAAACGTATACGTAAATAGCATGTATATTTTTCTCTGCCTTAAGGCCATTCTACAATGGCCGTAGCATAAGGTTGTAAGGCGTAAGACTCAAAAAATTGACCAATCAGTCGAGTATTCTCTTAATACTTGACTATGATTGGTCAATTTCTTGAATCTTACGCCTTACAATCTTATGCTACGGCCATTGTAGAATGACCTTTACTTTACATCCACGACAGACGTAAGCGCTAACATCTCGTTCTCTGCCATGGGAGCATCCCGTTTGACCACGTTGCGATTGACCACAGCCAATTATATCGACCTGTGCCTAGGATAACCAGCACCGATT